GACACAAATTCTGCTTACAACGAGCCTTCTGCCTTAACTTCTACTTGCTTAACTGCCAATTAATAGCACAGCCTGCAACTTGTCCTTCTCCACTGTAAAACACTGTCATCTGGCTCTCGAGTACACCTCATGGACCGTGATAAGAACACTTATAACATTCTGCGATAGACGCAACTCTCTTCATCAAGATATGAGTTAATATCCGTCAGCCTACCTTCAGAAGAACCAACACCTACAAACTATAAATGGGTGAGTACGGATCAACTTTCGCTTCAGTTGTCCACAGCAAATCTTTTGACAAGAAGTCGTAAGATATATTAGGATATTCATCCACTTGTAAATGTACCAGGGACTAGGACTAACAAAGAATGATGCGCAAAATACGCGAAAGAATATGAGGCAAGAGACATCATGGAGCTGTAAGTAAAGAGCTGATAGTAAGCACTATGCGTAAGTCAGCACGTGCCTACATTGGGGTACAAACAAAAGTAAAGTGAAAAGGGAAGAAATTAATTTTAGCCACGCAAATTTGTCCAGAGTGACAATACTCTGCGAAAAAAGCGAAATTAGTGAATAAGACGGCAAGTGTGGGCGAAACATAACAGTTGAACCGCCTCCTGTGAAATGCGAGTTAACGTAGCTGGAGGTGGGCCCAAAGGCGCGCAGCGAAGGCGACTACCGCTCTACGGACGCATCAATCGCCGCTGATTTTGCTCCTTCGACAAGCCTTCATGACCACACAATCACTGCTGTGTCTACTGTTCTGCTATCTGCTGCGTCACCAGAGTACTTCTTCACCGCATTCACTAGATGCCTACCGCTGTTTGCGATTTCGTTCCATTTTGTCTAATTTTTCTGATCAAGCTATTTCCCCCTTTTAACTTGACACATCTTCATACATCCGCACTTGTCTTCTCTGCTAATCCCACCATGCATGTATCACTACTCAAAATACACACCTCGTTGTCTATGGTCTGCTCCCAGCTCTGCACCAGTTTGAGTGAAGGTGACCCCATTGCCGACGTGTACGAATGAGCAAGCCTGGATACGGCGCACGTGGACAGTACCAGTAGCCAGGGGCCGACTGACTGACTGACCGCTGACTGAATCACCAAATGGCAGAGGCTACACCGAGCGCTAGGATATTGCATTTTGTTTATTTGTAGTGCTGAGTTACCTTGGCCTACGAGAGGTTATCTGTTCAAATTTCAGCATACCGCAGCTTCACGTTGGCCAAAGAAGAGAAACTGAACAAAAGTCCTACTACCTACAACTCTCAAATGTATTCATTTAAATTAAGGCTTCTAGGAAATTGCAGGATTTGATACTAGAAAGCTAAGAATCCAAAAATCATGGAAATTGAAAATTGGTACAAAAGAGTTTGATGGAGAACTCAGATATTTCTAGCAAATAAGCTTTTTCCTCCATATATTTATTATTCGCATTCTTTTAAGGACATTCAAGCATAAGGAGTCAACAAGTGCAACACTTAAACCTGTTTAAAACAATAACAGAGTGATAAGTACGTAATAGAGCTTTTCAATAAGTTTGGTGATTCGAGTAACTTGGTAATAGTTTCGGCATTCACCTCTTCTACCTGATTAGATAAAAGCATTCATTCCTTCATTCACACAGCTATCCGTCGATGACATCATTGAGTGCAATGTACTTCAGTGACACGTTCTCCCTGTCCTTCTTTATTAGTCCAGTTAGTTTGGTTCTTCTAACATTCTCCTCATGCGCGCTTTGTCTTTCCAAACGATCACATCCCCACTTCTTCTCTCTCCATCTTCTTTGCTTTCTTTACCTAATCCTGATTCTATCCATTCTCGATGCAACTTTCTGTCATCAACTCATCATTCTACCTATCTACCTACTCTGCATATATATAAACTACTAATTTGCTCAAAGAAGTATTGCGTTTTTCTTTGCGTTAAACGTGTCCCATGTATCTCAAACATTGGAATGCACGGTTTACTGCCATTTTGCACTCCTGGTTTTTCACTCTCCTCTATTATCTCCTCACTGCTAACCCCTCAATCCTTGTTTCATGGCCCAAGGACGCATCTGCAATTCCTCATGTACTCCACGAAGAATACGGCTTCCGTACTGTAATTGCTAGAGGTGAGAGGCGAGACGTGAGATGAGGTGAAGTCGATTAGAAAGAGATGAGATGGGACGGCTTTTACTTTAGGTCAAACAGGAAGTGTGATTCATTGAGAGCCCTGAACTATAACTAACGGTGTATTTGTGGGGTTGAGGAAAGGCTGAGATTCTGCTTCTTCCTCCGCTTTCAATTTCACTTACGACTCTGCCAATTAATATGCATGCAATTCGGCTTCTGACTTGTCAGGTCTACAAATCAGATAAGATTCAAATTATTGCCATGACAAGAAAGCGTTAATGAGGGAGATAAAATAAGCCGAATTGATGG